TACAAATAATACTTTTGTTATGATACTTATACTAGTTTTGCTATGATCTAAATATTACTTTAGCTAGTATCATAATGTTGATTTTGTTATAATAACATTATTAGTTTTGCTATGATAGTTTTGTTAACTTTGCTATGATAATTTTGTTATGATCATTGTGTTTGTGAAATCTTCTAAAAATATCTACAAATAATATTCTCTAAAGCTAATGTCCAATAAGATATGAGTAATTATTCATCCAATCATATCATGATATGAAGTAATCAATAATAAAATTAATTAATATTCTACTAAAAGTTCATATTATAACAATATTTCTATTCATTTAATATAATAATTTATAATAATTACTACATATTTATAATTATTTTAATAAAATTTATTTTTTCAAAAGATTCTTTACTTTTTATTAAATATAATGAATTATTCTTTCTAATTTTGCCTTTGCATTAACATATATCATATATCTTTATATAATTTTTATAATAACTGTGATAAGTTATTTTAATATCAAAATATTTAATATGTATTTGCTAAATTATGATGAATAATACTAATTCTATCTTATTTGATTTAATTATGTTTTATATAATAATTTAAGGAGTCTTTGTTTCAACAAATATATCACACTAGCAAAATATTAGCAAGAGAATTATATGTTTAATAAATTATTAGAGATGTATATTTATTTAGAATAATTCTTCATGATACAAAATAATTTGTATTTCAACCATACTTTATTCTTGCAAAGCAAAAAGGATCGTATTAAAAAATAATAAAAATGTCCAATTTTTGAATTCTGATAGATGTGAGTTAATTCAACTCTCTTGATTATTTGTCTCAGCGACAGGGACAGGCTCTTCAACTTTCTTGTTGGTAGTATATGATTTATTGAACAAGACATTTTTTAAAACTTGAGAGATTAGACCATGCGCGGCTTCAACCGTGATTTTGGTGCTATTAATAAAAGTCAAGTTTAAAATGAATCATTTTCTCATCAACTTCAAATTCACGAGAATCTTAATTCTAATACCTGTCCCTTGTAACTTTACTTAATGGACTTTCTTCTATTTTCTTTTTCTCTGAGGTTGTATTGCTAGTTGCAGCAGACGCACTAGCATTGCTGGGAGCGCCAGCTACAGACGATGAGGTCGCGGATGAAGTTGTTGGTGAGGTAGCATTGGATTGTATTACAACAGAATGCGACGTGCGATTACCACTTCCTCCACTCATGAATCCCGATATTCTACCACTTTGTTGTAACTGTGTTTCTGTTTGTTCTAATTTTTCCGCGAGATCTTTGATTTGTCTTGCTGCATACTCTCGATTCTGCATATAAAGTATTGATTGAACTTTAAAAAAAAAAAGAAGAAATAAGCTAACAAAAATGAACGGAGAAATGACGTACTGTTATAAGAGGTGATTGCGATAATGTGTTAATCCAATATTTATTCCAAAGCAACTCCAGTAAATGTGTGTCTAAAGTTGATTTAAAATTTGAGATCTCAAGTTGATAATATCTAATAACACATAATTCAAAATCGTTTCAGAATTGAATTATAAACATACGAGAAAAATGAAAAACTATCTTCAATATTTTAATTAATTCTTACTGTTTGCAATGGACACCAAAATCTTCAATCTTACTCAACGGTATAGTTTGGTATTCTGAAGGACCATCTTCCGGAGCTTTGTATCCCTAAAAAAGGGGGGGGGGATAAAAATAAAAGTTTAATATTTTAAATATGGATTAAGACGATATAGTAAATATTACCGCGGGAAATGTCCTGAATGCCCCTATTTCAACTTTACCAGCTGATATTGTTCGATTAGGATCAATCTAATTTCAAAGAATTAATCAATAAAAAAGCAAATGATTATTCTTCATTAAAATCAGATTTTGAATAAAGATTTACCACAACAGCCACGAATGGATCCTGATATTGTTGATTTGTCATTTGTGTGGTAACATCAATTCCTGAAAGCCAACAGCCATAACCAGGATGACTATGATACCAACCAATTGCATTCTCCAAACGTCCAACTTGTCTAATTAACGTCAGATATTGAACCATGTATTCATAGCCCTGTTCTTGTGCATTGACTCGAGTCTCCGTTCCTTCAACGGGCAATGCATACGCGTCCATAATTATCATGGTATTCCCACTTATTTTCCCTTGCATCAGCCCCATTACTTCGATACTGCCTCCGGACCGAGCATGCATCACCATTTTTATTAATGCAACCGCGGAAATTTGTACCTTAGTAAAGTAATGAGGGTCTGTCGTCCATGGTTTTGCATTGAGTATTTGCTGTTGCTCGACGCTATCAAATTGGTAAAGTTGATCTTGTGCTGGATCTACTTCGACAATATTGTTTGCAAATTCAAAAGTTTTGCGCGCAATTTCAGTGTCCATTGTGTGACAAGTAATTCACCATTGATGATCTATTTATACTTTGCGTCATCATCATTCATATCAAATATAATTTTATTTCAATAAAAAACATCATTTAAAGAGTATTATATAAAGAAAAAAACATCATTTAAAGAGTATTACATAAAGAAAACAATTATCTATAAAAAATTAGACGAGAGAAATATTAAGTAATGTTGGCGAGTATTGTTATTATTATTATCATCATCATCATCATCATCATCATTTTTATTATCTTCATTGAAATTTTCATCATCATCATCATCATCATATGAATAAGAGAAACGTCTACTCATAATATTTTCGATATTATACCCGAGAGAATCATCACTATCTTGTTGCTGTATTAATTCAGCTGGTGAAATAGTAGCAAGCGAGGAAGGTCCGACAATATCATTGCTGCGATCAGTATTGTCATCACTATTATCTGAATTATTATTAACTGCCTCCATTGGCAAATCAACACCAAATTCCAATGCCAGTTCACGGTTAAACTTGCTTAATCGTCGTTGAAATCCCGTATGATCGACAGAACTAAAGGTGACGTAGACATTTTTTAATTTGAGTCCCCAATCGGATTCAGGATCTGTTGGATCTGGTCGTGATGGTTTGAGATGTGGGAATTGTGATACGCGTACATAACGATTTGTAAATTTCCACTATTTTTGAGCATTTCATGAATTATTTGAATATGATATTAAAAACTCATAGCCATATTTTTTTTCGTACAAGTGTAAATGACTTACGGGGAGTGTACTATCCATCATTCCCTCATGAACGTATCTGCCATTTCGTAAGAATTTTGGTGATCCAGCATGAGCTGATAGTGCATTATTAAACTGCGGAATAAAATTATGCTAATAGTCTTCAATATTTAACTTTTTTTCGAGGTTATTAAAAGTTGCTCAAATCTGAATCATCTATTATTCATTATCTATCTATTATTTATTATCTATTATTGATTATTAATAATACTTTGCTTTGAGAATCTTCATTACACATGATAAAAGAATCATAAAAATGACATAGAAATTAAAAAAAAAACCAATTCAAATTCATCATCTTTTAAAATTAAAAAAGAATTCTCAAACGCATCATCCTTTTAAAGTTAAAAAAGAATTCTCAAACGCAATTTGCGAGTTGTTCAATAACCCGCGTTAGGAAAAAAAAAAAATCTTCCAACCTTAAAGGTCCAAGTAGTCTCGCATAAATCTTCCATTTCCAACTTAGTCCGACGAGCTTCTTTCTCCACTAAAATATAAACCTTTTTCCAGGTGCCAGGCTTTAGATACCATAAAGAATGAGCGTTTGTACATATTTCTTTCATTCCTTGTTTATTCTCCCATCGGTTTAAAGCAATCTCAGCCCATAAATGATTATCAGAGACTAAAATATTCCAATTACGTGAAACCAGTGATAAATTACATAAATTTTTTGCGTCTAGATTTTTGAAAAGACCAATTGTTACTTCTGAAGGCAAAATTTGAGTAATATCCATCTTTACATGTTCATTAAAATGGTTTAGCAAAATTGATTTTACGGTGAACATTTCACGTGATTTTCTGACACGTAACTAGAATTCCGAGTCTCCTAAAAAGCAAAATTTAGATAATTATATCCTTTGACAAATTCAAACCATTCCGAAAGTCTTAATGAAGAATCAAATAATAACGAAGACGATACAGAAGCTTCAATCACTGAACTCGAATTAATTGCAATCAACATCGCAACAAATATTAAATTTAACAAATGAAACAAATGAAAGTTAAAGCACTGTAAATAATTAAATGAAGGTTTCATAAAAATTGTTAGTGAGGCAATTTTACATCCAATAAGAATGTTGTGAGGCCAATTTTATAGTCTAACCCTAAAAATCGACCTCTAACAATCGAGATCTTTTTTATACAATCAACGCCTGTATGGTATGGTATGCATTTAGGAGATTAAACATGCAAATATGCATTTAGAGGGCAATAACAACAATAACAAAATCTTGCATAAGCATAATTTCAGATATTTTCAATCATGTGAGTGACTGCATATCTATTTGAGATATGCAGTCGACTTGAAATAAATAATTTTTTTACTAATATGTCGAACGATTCAGACAGTAGTCAAGCACAAAATGATAATAAAGCTCCTTCAAAGGAAGACAAAGAAGCATCGTTTGCGTCATTGGTAGTTGTCGGGCATTATTTTTAGATTGAATTGATGAATTAATTTTTAAAAAATACCAGATAAATTATTTGTTGAACAAATAATTAATTCAGGGTATTATTGAACCTTTATGTAAAGCGTGTGAACAAGTAAAATATATAAAACCAACAGATATCCAAGTTGAAGCTATTCCATGGGCATTACAAGGTTAAATTTAAGATTTTTGCGGATAAAAGATCAAAGATATAATAATTAACTGAAATAATAACCTCATAGTTTCTTTATTTTCGATCTCTTTAGGTCGTGATATAATTGGTCTTGCCCAAACAGGATCTGGTAAGACTGCTGCTTTCGCATTACCTATTCTACAAGCATTATGGGAAGCACCACAAGGTCTTTTCGCGTGTGTACTTGCGCCTACCAGGTGATTTATTTTATATTATTATTTTATATTCACAATATAATTGTCATTCAATTAAGTACAATAATCACCTTTCATAAAAAAAAAGAGAGCTGGCCTTTCAAATCTCCGAGACATTTAATGCATTAGGAAGCACGATAGGAGTTCGATGTGCAGTGATTGTGGGTGGTATGGACATGATGGCACAATCAATTGCTCTCTCCAAAAAACCACATATTATAATTGCAACGCCTGGTCGACTACAGGATCACTTGGAAAATACTAAAGGTTTTGGACTACGGACTTTGAAATATTTAGTATGAATAATAATTATTTTTTTTTTACTTGGATATCTTTGAAAATCATTAGATTTATTAAATACTTTTTTGATATGTCCTAGGTGATGGACGAGGCGGATAAATTGTTAGACATGGACTTTGGACCAATGATTGATAAAATATTAAAGGTCATTCCAAAAGAACGACGCACTTATCTTTTTTCGGCCACAATGACAACTAAAGTCGCGAAATTGCAACGAGCATCGTTAAATAATCCCGTTAAAGTTGAAGTCTCCTCAAAGTAAACTATCTCTTTTTGGGAAGATTAATGAATAATTTAATTAGCTGATCTGTATTTATTTTTTATCAACTTTAGATATTCAACTGTTTCTACTCTACTTCAATATTATCTCTTTTTCCCATTCAAGCATAAAGACTGTTATTTAATTTATCTATGTAATGAACTCGCCGGCAACTCTATAATAATCTTTACACGTACATGCAACGACACTCAACGTCTTGCCCTGATGCTGCGGAATCTTGGATTCACAGCAATTCCATTACACGGACAATTATCACAATCCAAAAGATTAGGTTCTTTAAACAAATTCAAAGCCGGCAGTAGGAATATACTTGTTGCCACTGATGTTGCTAGCAGGTAAATAAAAAAGGACTTCCATTCATGTTTTATTATCAATCAACTCATGGAATAAATTTATTATCCTTGTTTCCTAAACTAAAAATAGAGGTTTAGACATTCCACTTGTGGATGTCGTAATAAACTTTGACATTCCAGCCAACAGCAAAGACTACATTCATCGAGTAGGACGAACAGCACGTGCAGGTCGTGCCGGTAAATCTATCACATTAGTGACTCAATATGACGTTGAGTTATTTCAACGTATTGAACAAGTGATTGGAAAACAGATGGAAGTTTTTCCTATAGAAAGCAAAGACGATGTATTATTATTGCAAGAACGCGTATCAGAGGCTCAACGTATTGCTATTCTAGAAATGAAAGAAGAAAATCTTAGAAATAAGAAAGGGAAACATAAACGTGTGAGAGGTGTTGAAGATGATGATAATAATGATGGTAATAATCTAAACGATGTGGTTGCGGCTGCTAAACATCTAAAGAAGGGAGTAAAATCTAAAAATAATAAAAAATTAAAAAGGTGAAAACAATCAATATTTATACAAATGGTTCAATTTACGAGGCATTAAAGACAATAGACCATATATTATATACATTACAAGAAAAATTCGCCAATGATCGATTCTACTGAATATATTGTCATTTTTGGTTTTGATTCCAGCAAATATTCCAATTCTCAAAATTTAAATTACTAAATAAATAATCTTTTAATAAAAAAATAAAAATAAAGATATATAAAATACTAAAATAAAATTATTAATTCAAAATTTATAAAATAACTGGATTTTTTTAATTTTCTATTAAAATGAGTATTAACTATAAAATTTTTAATGATTACATATATCTTTGATAATCACAAATAAACGTAGTTATGATTAAATAAACTGAGAAAAAATTTAGAATTCATAGTTTTAAATCATTATATATCTTTAGAATTGATACTCAAAAATATTAAGACAATATAAGATTAATATTTACCTTCCAAATCACGAACCACTCTATAGTAATTTATTCCATGATGAAATCAATCACGTCTTAACTTAAAATGTTAAAAATGCAATTTTACATTAACTGGAACAATTTAATTAATACAACTTCTAAATGAGGTATTAATAATCACATGATTTCTAATTGGGTGGAGGTGCGATTTTTAGTGCAGTAGAGTCTTTGGAATTAAATATCTATACCGAATCAACATGGATTCTCTAAAAGCCGAAATTGAAAAAAAGCGCAAAGTTTTAGAAACAGTTCAACCAGAAGAAGGCCCAAAAAAGAAAAAATATGTAAGACGGGCAGATCTCGAAAAATATCGAGAACAAGAGTACCTACGTGAACAAGAAGAACTCGAAAGGAAGAGACAAGAAAAAAAAAAGGAAAAAAGTCGAATGCTTCAGTTAATTGCTGAACAAGAACACTCTGAGAAATCTGCCTCCGATAGTGATATAACACAGAAAGAGGAAGATCAAGAAGAAGATGCATTTAATATTTCTCCTGAAGAGGTGGTGCGTCGTCTTCGCGCCAAAGGACAACCGATTCGCTTATTCGGCGAGTCGGATAAAGAAAGAAAAATTCGTTTACGTGCAATTGAATTAATTGAAGAAAGGACGGAGGTAGGAGTTATGGGAAATAACATATAGATCTTTTTTTATTTTTTATTGATTCGTTACTCACATACAAAAAAAGGGACAACGTAATGATTTTATGAGAACATTAGAAGAAATGGAGACTGGGCTTGATTTAGAAGCCCTCAAGAAGCCGGCAGACGAAGAATTTAATGGAGAATCTTCTAAAAAGAAGGCAATAGAAGATTCTGCATTGGATACTTCTTTTATTAGCATTGATTTATTAGATAAAGATCCCGACAAACTCTATGTACTTATTTACACATTTTTTAAGGTATTTACATTTGTTTTAATCTTGTTATTCTCTAATACGATCTTGAACAAGTTATTCAGGTAAAAATATGTACCTGTTCTAAAATAATAGAGACTTTTACGAGAATGGGAACAAGAAATGAACAATCGTCCTGATAATGTTAAACGGAGCACGCAGGGAAAACTAGCAGCGGCGATTCAACGACAAACAAATGAATATCTTCAACCATTTTTCAGATTATTAAAGAAAAAGGTTTGTTCTTAATAAACCTAATCTTCTTATGCTTCAATAAATTTACAAAACTAATATTTCTATATTTTATTTTTAAGTCGATAGAACCAGATGTATTAGCACGAGTCACAGAAATTACGCATTTCATGCAAAAGCGAGAATACATTAATGCAAGCGACGCATATCTTCGTCTGTCAATAGGCAATGCACCATGGCCTATTGGTGTCACTATGGTTGGTATTCATGAACGTTCGGCACGTGAGAAAATCTTCTCGGCTCAAGTTGCGCATGTGCTCAATGACGAAACTACACGAAAATGGATTCAATCTATTAAACGGTTATTAAGTTTCTGTCAAACAAAGTATCCTCCCGATGACAATGCTCAATTAATGGGTTAAGCAAATATTAGTTATTTGGATATTCTGGGAAATCGGGTTCTTAGGGTAGGCTCAAAGGAAGGACAATCCGATAATATTGGCATAGATCAATATTCTGTTCATTTTATTGTATATTAAGTTGTCATCATTTATATATAAATAAATCGAATATTATTTAGAGTTCTGGTCAAATGACCGATTTATTGGTAAAAATCCCTAGTTTATTTTTATATTAAAATAAAGTTTATTAATTATAATTTAATATATATTTTTTAAATTTTTAGATTTTTTTTAAAAGAATTATTAGAGAAAGTCTACTGGTTCGGTGAATACAAAGTTTTCATTCTTACTCGGAACGAATAGCCATCGGATTCACAGTGTAGTACGCTCCTTTGATATGAAGTGGTTCACTGAGTAAACCGTATATAAATTTATTAATTTTCAATATTTCAAATAATACAATGATATAACTAATTCATACGTAAATAATGATTGATGGCACCCATCATTCTTTCATCATTTGCGCAAATGACCATACAAGATATGTTTCGATTAAATTTAGTGGATCAAGTCCAACTAAACTTATGCTTCTAGTCTAACTAAACTTATGCTTCTGGTTTATCGACAATTGCGGTAGCACGAGCTGTTTTAAAAAAAATTAAAGTCCAATTAATATCAGAAAAGCGAAACAATACTAATAATAAGAGAATAATTACTATAGATAAGTTGTGATCCATGAGTTGAAATCTTTCGGATTAATCCTTTTTCTTCCAACTCCCTAATAGCAACGCGTGCAAGCGATCCATTGACACGCAAACGATCCACTAATACCGAAGGAGTGATCAATTTATAAGTGGGAACTTCCTTGAAAAGTTTGTCGTATGTTGGTTTGTCAAGGACTACGGCGTTATTTGCTTTATCCTTGACTTTTCCTTTGGACCATTTCTACAAACATACCATCGATTTTTTTGAGTGTAAAGTTTTTATGACTATAACTCATGTAAATGATAATCAAATTTACTTTTTTCTTGGTTTTACCCCCGGAAGAGGATTTTGCGGCGGCTTCCTTTTTGACCTATTATTAATTAAAATATTGCTCGTAAATAAAATATGTTAAGGCTTTCTTTTATCAAAATAATGCTTTAATGATACGTTAGAATAATAATATTTTGTCTACTATTTATTATATTCTTTATTTGAAGTGTTAGTATTTTGTTTGACATGCGATTTGTTAAAAGTGCAAAAAAGCCAAAAATAAATTTCAATATCATTCTTGCAAGTTTCTTTTAAATTCTAGTTTTTCAATCATTTGATAAAACTGACCATTTATAAAATAATGATAGCTAATTATTCAATCGACCTTGAAACGTTATTGAAGACAAATCTGGTCAGATGGAACAAAAAAAAAGATACCTCGCCATGGCGAAAAAAAGTCTCGAATCACGTGTATGTAGGCTTGTAGAAATTTCATTGTGCAAATTTCCTTGTATGTATTGTATGTAGAAAATCAAATTTCCTTGTATGTAGAAATTTACATTGATCAAATTTCCTAATATGGGGGAACACAGATAGTGCAAGAATATAGTAAATATATCGATAAATATTTTTATTGCAAGATAGCGTTGCTTTTTTTAAGGAAGAAGGGGAAGGAGAAGGGGGACTAAGATTATTAAGAATATGTTTTTGATGTCAAATGCAAGCTATAAGTGTTATAATAACTTACTATTTATAATACTATATACTCATTATTTTATTTCTTTAATATGTATACTTAATGCAAGCTATAAGTATTATAATAATCCAATTCTATGTGTGCTTGTCATTTCTAATATCATATACTCTTTATTTCTTTATTTTATTTTTCCACCACATACTTATTTAATATATAATACTTAATATTTTTATAATTTTTTATTTATTTTTTTTTCTAGTTTAGTTTACCGACTTTTTTGTTTTTTCACTTTATATTTATTCTTATTTTTATTATTATTTTTATATTTAAGTTTTCTAATATTATTACTTTGATTATATTACAAGTGATTAATTAAAAATATGTAAAGTTATTTAATATTGATATATTATTTGAGATATTAAAAAAAGAATTTTGCAAGAACTTGTAATTACTTATTTCAATATATAAATATAATATAATAATTGAAAGTATATTAATAATAATTTTTAGATTATTTATATTTGTCATCTTGCAAAGTATAATAAATCAAGTATATATAAAAAAGATATTTCTATAGAAAAATAAAGAAAAATAAGTAAATATAATTCTGATAAATATAATATAAAAATTAAAAATATATTAAATTATATATATTTAATTAATAATAATAATAAGATTAAATAATCTAAGATCATTAAAAAATTAATAATTAATAAAGCAAGTAAATTATATATTTTATTTATTATCATAATTATAGTTAAAAAGATCATGAGTAAAAAAAATCTTAATATTATAATTTAAATTTACTTAAAATTAAAATTATAAATATTTAATAAAAGTTATATAAATCATTAATGACTTATTTTATTGATAAATATTAATTTAGAAGTTAATATTAAAAATATTCTTAATTTTTTAATTTACAAGAATTATTAAGTTAAATACTTTTTAATATAAAAAGATATATATAAATATATATATAAAAATATATAATATTATATAAAATTATTTTAAAATTAAATTCTAGATAATTAAAAAAATTATAATTTTTTAAATAACTAATACTCATAAATTTTATATATAATATTAATAAATATTTATAATATTTTTTTATATTATATATTTATAATAATTATAAATATCAAGATATTAATACTTATTTCTTATAAATAATAAAAATAATAATATAATAACTAAAGTATTAAAAAAATTTATAAATTTATATCTTATTAATATTTTTAATATATATTCTCTAATTAAAGTAAGATAAAAATTAATAATAATATAAATATTTTTCTAGAAATCATATATAATAAATAAAATTGCAATATAATTTTTTATATAATATATATAATATATATAAGATTTATTATCTAATTATATATAATTAATTAAGCTTGATTATTTTTTTTAATATGAATATTATTTTAAATTTAAGTATTTATTTTAAATTATACCACTAATTGAGAATTGTTGAGATATATATCAGTATGATATATACTTTGTATTTTAGATTATACTCAAGTGATATGCATTTTGCTTTTTATAATATATATCAAGATGATATATTTTATATATCTGATTATATATGATATAATATATACTAGTTTAGTAATTATAGCTAATTTTTATTATTACTGGGACACAGATAAAAAAAAAATAAGATTATATCTTGTAATTTACATATTAATAATAATAATAAGATTCTTAATTGCAGATTTATAAATAAATATAATATTCTTTAATTTGTTTTCAAACTCAGAATTGTAATCTTGTTCTAACTTTTCTATATAAGTTTTGAAATTTTTTTCAATCTTCTATATTAAAAGTTTATTAATAGCTTAATCTGACTTAATATTATAGTCTACCTTCTTAATTTTTTATATTATAATTTTATTAATAGCTTGAGTTAACTTATTCTTGTTATCTTGCATTATTATTATTTTATATATCATATAGAATTTTTAATAAAAAAATTAATGCAATTAGAACATGTTATATGTATACTAGATAGATAAAAAGTATCTTATTTTGTAAACTTGAAAAGTTATTACAAAGTAATAGAATATATTATAAAAAAATACTATTAATAATACTATTATATATATACTATCAGACTATATTATATACAGGAGATAAAAAGAAATATTGAACATTTTGTATATTTTTAAATTGATTTATATTATTAGATCTTATATTTTTTTTGACAATTATTTTATAATAAATTATTTATATATAATAATGATCTATAACCAAAATAAATCTCATCTTCATATGATATATTTAGGAGTTATAAATCTACATATAATTTTCTCTCAAAAAATCATTCTTTAAACTTTATCATATAATATGCTATGAAAAAGAATTAACAAAAAGTTAGAAAGATGAAATTATTATTGCAAAAAAATTTGGTCACACATATACTGAAATCTCTAAGATTATAGATTATTCTGTGATCCATATGTTAGAAGCACATAAGCTTAAAAAATCATCTAAAAAATAATCAGATCATCTATGAGAGGAGATAAAAGAAATATTAGAAGATTTTTTTTTAATTAATTTTATTTATTTATAGAAGATTCTAATATTTATTTATTTATAGAATGATTCAGATATTTATATTATGATTTTAATACTTTATATGATCTGAAAAAGAGTTTAATAATGAGAATTTTTGTTTTGAGTTACTAAAATCTTAAGACAGTTACATGCAGATTTGTTATAAATTGGTAGATGATTTAATTATTTTTTAAATGATTTTTTTAAGCTTATATATTTCTAACATGCAAATTATAAAACAAATTACAACTTTAGAGATCTTGATATGTGTGTGACTAAGTTTTTTTACAATAATAATTCCATCTTTCTGACTTTCTATTAATTTTTTTTCATAACATATCATGTGATAAAATTTAAAGGGTAATTTTTTGAGAAAAAACTGTATGTAGCTTTATAACACTTGAATGTATTATATGAAGATGAGATTTATTTTAGTTATAGATTATTACTATATATAAATAATTTATTATAAAATAATTATCAAAAAAAATACAAGATCTAATAATATATATTAATTTAAAAATACGTGAAATATTTAATATTTCTTTTCACTTTCTGTTATATACTATCTGATTATATTATCAAGTACATTATATTAAAGTATATTAATTTTGATTGCTAGAATTTTTTATATTAGTTAATATTAGAAATATATTCTGTAAATATAAATAGTAAAAAAATAATTAACTTTAACTAAATATATAAAAAAACAGATATATAACTATAAATAAATTTGAAATTACTTATTCTAAAAATATATTCAAAAATATACTATTAAATAAGTAAATTTTATTATACATCAGAAAATTTTTTGGGGTGATTTGTATTAATTTTTATCATTAGTTATATATTAATATATATCGGAGTTATTGATGCATATTAAAACAGATATTTAATATATATTAATATATATCAAAGTTGTCAATATATATTATTTAATAAAGTATATTATTAAATATCATTGTTTAACGAAGTATATCATTAAATATCATTGTTTAATGAAGTATATCATTAAATATCATTGTTTAATGAAGTATATTATTAAATATCATTGTTTAACAAAGTATATTGTTAAATATCATTATTTTATGATGTATATCATTAAATATCATTGTTTTATGATGTATATCATTAAATATCATTGTTTAACAGACTAGATTATTAAATATCATTATTTAACAGACTAGATTATTAAATATCA